CTGTGTCTCTCTACATATGCCCAAGCATTTGCTTTCGAGTGCCTTAGGCTGGTTCCTGGCGTTATCTTCTTGCAGGAGGGAGAGAGCTGCTGTTCCTTGCTTCGGGAGAGGGACCCGAGGCAGTTTCCGAGGAGTGATGCACTTGCAGAAGTGTCTTTGTGGCCTCTCTGAGCAGAAAATTTGTTGTTGTATCTCTTTCTTTCCAGATAACAGCGTCAAATTAGATCAGGTTCTGTTAGTTTGGGTTGGCCCTCTCCCTTTGTGTGTCTCTGCCTGCAGCCATACCCCGCCCCCTTCTAGGTAAAAGCGACACCTTGTCGTGGCATGATCGGCAAGAACCTGCCCTTGGGAGGTCTGAAATACGGGTTTCAGACTGGAAATTTCGGGAAATAAGTTCTGCTTCATTTTGGACAGTTCAGAAAGGTTTTTCTGAAAGAGGCTTCAATCCTGCGGGAGGAGTGGTTGGCAAGACGGCATCAGCTGGTATGAGATGAAGGCTATTCTCGCCCAAATAACTTATTTTTTCCTTGCTGTTGGAAGGATGCCAGCCCATCCTTCACTCCTCCGAGGCGCAGCTTATCCTGCCGCAGGCGTCGTCTCTGCCCAGGTTTGCCCAGGAGGGTGTGGGGAGCCCGGGACAGCCGCGAGTCCTCCCTGCCTGGATCACACGAGTGCCATCCCAGATGGATGCGCTGCTCGGCACAGGGAAGCTGGTGCATTCTAATTGCTGGCATCTTTACTTGTTACGAGTGTAATTGTGAGTAGACGTTTGTTTTTGTATTGATAATTAGGGACTGGAACAGATGGCGAAGGCTTAGTTTAAAGTAATGTGTCCATTAAAGAAAATCTACTGTATACAGCTGAAGATTCTTCACTCCAAGAGAGCTCAGCTCTCGGTAGCAGAGCTCCTCTCTCCCTAATGAGGAGTTGGGCCATCACAGCCTGGCTAGCAGAGCCTCTGATCCCAGAGACTTCTCCCAGCGAACGTGTTGAGCTCCCTCCTGATGACAGAGCATCCCCAGGTGTCCGCTGTGCCCAGGTGGGCAGGTGTGCAGGGAAATGCTGGAGGAGCGTGCCTGGGCAGGGGAGGGGGTGGCAGTGTCTTGGGCACAGAGCCTGGCGTGGTGGGGCTGCTTGATGCAGGTGACAGGTGACACGGTTCTCTCGACGTGGCCAATGATGCTGTGCTGGATGTCAGAGGCACAGGGAAAGGATGTTCCCCTGGGGCTTTAATTAATGCCCTGTGCCAATTAACGAGGACTGGTCCTCGTGGAATGGCGAGGCAGGTGGGAGGGGAGGTGCAAGGTGTCCATGTGGCTTCTCTACTCATTAGGGCTGCTCAGGCACTGATCTGCACTAATCCCCTCGTTAGCAGCATTCCCTGCCTGTCCTCCTTGCCCAATCCCAAGTGATGGATAGGTGGGGGATTGATCCTCTGTCCCCTGGCCTGTAGGGATATTTTGCAGATGTGGGTGCTGGGATCTCTGTCTTATTCCCCATTTATCTGCGAGGATTTGGGATCTATGAACCCTCTCCTGTTGAAGGAGGGTGCTCAGCAGCCATAGCCCCGAGCAGCCCAGCCATAAATGCCCTACCAAGGTCATAGTGTCACTTTTTCCTCCCAGAAAATGAAGTAAAAGCCAAGGTTTCCTCCAAGAGGAAATAGGAGAGGTCAATAGGAAGTTGCTGAGCCATGTCCTTCTGATGCCAGTGCCTCTGCAGTGACAGGGCTGGGTGAACTCAGCAGGAATTTGAACTCAAAGAGGGGATTTAACCATCTTATTGTGTTTAAAAAAAAAACCCTCCCAGATTAACCATTTTGCCAGTTTATGGATCTTCTTGTCTATGCAGTGCCCTTGGGAGATAGGACAGGATCCTTTGCAAATTCCATTGCATTTCCTTTGTTTTGCAAATTGCTTTGGGAACATGGAGCCATGGAAATGCAAGTGTTCTTCACAAAAATGGGATCTGGTATGCAGCAAGCCAATAATTACACACTTGAGAGAGACGTGGATTATTTGTTTCAGAGTTGCTCAAGCCCGGGTGCTTGGTGGTGTTCAAGCACCCCAACTATCAGAGCTTTTTACTATTTATACATTTTAGCAATCAAAAAAATTAGCATTTATTGGCTACAACATTCTCTTATTAATTAATATCCTGTCTTCTGTTGGTTAATGACTGTCTTGTTTCTCATGCTAGTTAGTCCACATGCTCAGTGTTTCTCTTCTTTTGGGTTAGTGGCCTGTGAGTCGATGGTCATGATCTGCCCCTGCTGGAATTGCCTTTTACCCATCAGAGCCGATTTCAGCACAATTGCTGAAATTATTTATTAGTTTCTTCCTTATTTTGGGGGTTCTGCCGAATGTCCTTGTGGCCTCTAAGTTCTGCATTCTGTGTGCCCAGTGGCACATCACACACATCCTTCTTCCCCATCCTTCTCCCCTAGGACTGAGATCATTGAAACATGTAGAGCCCTAGACCTCAACAAGGCAATTCTACCAACAAGGAATTTCTCTTTCCAACACCTGGACACCACTTAGAGCTTGTGAGCTGCTGTTTCACGGGTGAAATCTCCTTTCTTGTGGATTACACTTGAAAGTTACAAAGATCAAACGTTAATGAGCATCCTTTCTTAAGAAAATTTTACATAATCCACATTTTGCATCACAAGCTCTGCATCGTGGTGGAAACTTCTTAAATGTGACCCCCCTGGCCACAGGCCACAGAATCACCTAGGGACTCTAGAAACATCCAAAGTGAAAGCTTCTCTGTGGTTCCTTTCCATTTATTCATTTATTGTTAATTAATTTCTCTATTTAGTGAGTTATCTTGAGGTCATCTTCAGCATTGCTGCTGCGCCTTCCTGCTTTCCTTCTGGAATGTGGAGCTTTGGGGAGGAACTCGAGAGGAGGGAAGGGCTGAGGCTTTGGGAGGGGTCCTGGTGAGTGTCATCTGGGAGCAGAGCTGGTCCTCGTGTGCTGCTGTCCCACAGGGTGGCTGTGCTTTATCAAAAGTACATTCCTCTGTCAAAGCCCAGGGAAGGAAGCTGGAAGTGTGTGGAACAGGAAAGGAGATGATGGAGTGAAAAGCCTTTCTGAATAAACCTTTGGAAGAAGTGCCCTTCCTGTAATGGAGCCTGTCCTTATTTATCACAGAGGGTTGATGAGCCAGCTTGGGTCCCAGCCTGGGACCTCGTGTCTCCCTGTTCTCCTCTGTGTGGCACAAGCACACCCTGTTTGCTTTGGGGGAGAGCACCAGGTGTTTTAGGGGCTCTCAGAGCATCCCTCGCCATGCAGCCCACTGGCAGGGGGCACTGGGAGATGTTTGCATGGCCTGTCCCTTCCACCTCCACATCCATTTATGCTTCTACACATCTTCCTGCTCATTTAAAGGGCTATTTCAAGGATTAATGGCTGCTTAATTAGGGGCTGGGATGTTTGGAAGGGAAGGAAGGCATGGAGGTGGTGGGAAGGTGAAGGATGGTGAGAGCAGAAACTTGCTGGAGATCTGGAGCATAAACCCCTGGCCCCCTTGACAGGACAAGGGGGAATGGCTTCCCACTGCCAGAGGGAAGGGTTAGATGGGATACTGGGAAGAAATCCTTCCTTGTGAGGATGACGGAGCCCTGGCATAGCTTCCCAGAGAAGCTGTGGCTGCCCCTGGGCACCTGGAAGTGTCCAAGGCCAGGCTGGACAGGGCTTGGAGCAACCTGGGATAGTGGAAGGTGTCCCTGCCCATGGCAGGGGCTGGAATGGGGTGAGCTTTAAGGTTCTTTCCAATCCAAATCATTCCTGGTTTCCATGATTCAAAGCTGGAGAGGAATTGGAGCTGGGATATTTAATTTTTAGCTGCCTTGTGCCAAATGGAAAATGACCAAAACTATAAAGTGACGTGTGACAGCGTGAAGGTCACCACGCTTTTCTGTTTCCTATGTGGAGCAGGAGTGAAACATCTCCTCTCCGAGGGCACTGTGAGCAGGAACAGCCTGGCACTGTGCAAAGCAGGGGGCTGTGGGCTTTGGACGCCTCTGGCTGTGCCATGGCAGCATCCTGGGGCCTTTGGGGTGCATTGGGGGTGCAGAAGCTTTGCCAGCTTCCAGCCACTTTTCACTCCATGCCTTGCTGTCCCTGCCCTGGGGCCACACTCACCCCTGGGAGGGGTTTTAGGAGCGTTTATCACTGGTGTCAGGGTGGGGAGTTCCTGGTTAGGCTTCTCCAGCTCTGCATCCTGGAGCGGCCGGCAAAGGGAGGGGTTGGAAGATTAATCGGAGTCTTGTTTCCCGCTTGTGATTGCTGGAGCAGCCGTGGAGAGATTAAAAGCAGCAGCCTGGCAGCAGCACAGATTCCTGGGCTGATTTTTATTTCCTGACCTTTATTTCTCTGGTTGCACCCCTTTTCCTGGCACTGCTGTGAGTACCTGGGAGCAATCAGGAAAGGGGAGGGATTGGGGATGCTCAGTTCTGCCAGTTGCCCATGGCACATCTCCTCCTCCTGTTTGGTCGGGATGCAGGAATTGAGGCAATTAATCTGCATGTCTGCTTGCTGCAAACAAATAAATAAAACCTGGAGGGTTTTCCCCATCTGTTTCTTTATGGTGTTGCTCTTGCTGTTATTCTTGTTGTGTTTTGTTGTTTTGGTTTATTTTTTAATGTCTAAAAGTAGGAAATGATGTGACTCTGAAATACAGCATCTTTTGATTTTTATTGTTTTTTGGTGTTGGTGATATTATTTTCCTTTCCTGGGTAGGGGAGGGTCAGACCTGGCAGTGTGAGCTGGGTTCAGGCCATGACTCCTTGCAAAGAGTCGTGTCCCACACCATTTGCTCCAGAGCTAAACTGCCTTGAGTCCATTAGGGCAGCTGCTGTTGATTCCTGAGTTCCCCAAGGATCAGGTGCATGCTCTGGGAAAGCAACTGAATGTTTTCCCATGTCTCTGTGCTCATAAAGTAATGGAACACTTCGGGAATAACTAGTTTACTTACCTTTCCTTTTGTTTCCTCAGAAACTTTGATGGATACGCGGACGGCGACGGCCGAGCTGGGCTGGACTGCCAACCCACCTTCAGGGGTAAGTTCCACTTGTCCACCTGACCCTTATGGGGTCTAGGGGGGGTCCATGCTTGTTACCCCACTATTTGTAGGGGTGAAGTGCTGGTGGGAAGCCAGAGGAGTCACAGTGGCAACAGCAGTGCCCTGTAGGGCTGGTGCGGAGTGCCAGGGCATGGCTGAGCCAGGCTGAGCATCCTTCCCCGAGCCAATACTGGGGCCTTGGTGAAGATGGAGCTTGTCTCCATCTCCATGCTGTCTCCCTCATGAAGGGTTCAGCCCCATCACTGCTCTCCATCACCCTGCTCGTGCCTTCCCTCTCCCTGTGCCAAAAGGCTTGTAATTAGGAAACATTAGCAGGCTCCAAACAGCTTTCATACCTGGAACATCATCCATAATTGCACTCGGCAGTGCTCTTCCTTGGCTATTAATGTCACTTTTATGAAGTAATGAGGAACCAAACACCCTGAGGCACTTAAAACATCTTTTTTATATAATATGAGCCTTTGAGGAATGGAAGCATAAAATAACCTGACTCACATTCTCCTGGCAGAAAAAGTGAGAGATGGAGCTGCGGGTGGGAGGGGATGTGAGCTGATGGATGGGCACCACGGTGGGACAGGCAGGCTGGGAGCAGCAGCAAGGCCTGTCCCTGGAGACTCCAGGATGTGGCACCAGAGGGGAAAGGAGCCAGGCTGCATCCTTGATCGGGTGTCACTGGCTTGGCCAAATCTTCAAAATAAATTATTTTGCAAACCATCACCAAAGCTGGGCCACACCTGCAGCAGGCATGAAATCCACTCCAGACATGTCAAAACCCCTTGAATTGGGGTATTTTGCTATTGAATTGCTTTGGAAAAATTCTGGGCCCAGATAAATTGCTGGAAAAATGCAGGAGGGGCACGTGCAGGTGATGGAGACAGGATATAAATAGCTGCCTGCAGCTGCTGTCACTGAAAGCCTGTGTGAGGCAGGCGGGGGGCTTGTGTTGTAAGGCACGGTGGTCTCACCCTCTGCAGAGCAGCACAGTAAAACCCCTCCCCAGCCCCACCCCTGCATCCCACCGTGTGCATCCCTCTGTGCCTCCCTGCAGCCATCCAATTCTCACTCCTCTGAGGGTTCCTGAGGAGGCTTCTGCTTTACAGGAGTGTGTATTAAATCTTCCACCAAGTATTTAAAATGCCAAGTCTTTTATCTAGAATCATGGAATCACATTATCCTTTAGGTTTGAAAAACCCTCTCACACCATCAAGTCCAACCATTAACCCAGCACTGCCAAAACCACCACTGATCCATGCTCCCATGTGCCACAAAATCTGTATGGACAGATTTTAAATCCCTCCAGGAATGGGGACTCCACCACTGCCCTGGGCAGCTGTAACAGAGCTGGACACCCCTTTCTGGGAAGGAATTTTCCCCAATATCCAATCTAAACCTCTCCTGGCACAGCTGGAGGCCATTTCTCCTTCTGCTGTCCCCGTTCCCTGGGAGCAGAGCCCGACCCTCCCCAGCTGTCCCCTCCTGTCAGGGAGTTGTGCAGAGCCAGAAGGTTCCCCCTGAGCCTCCTTTTCTCCAGGCTGAGCCCCTTTCCCAGCTCCCTCAGCCTCTCCTGGTGCCACAGACCCTTCCCCAGCTCTGTTCCCTTCCCTGGACACACTCCAGCCCCTCAGTGTCCTTTTTGTCATGAGGGGCCCAGAACTGTACACAGGACTGGAGGTGCCCCAGCAGTGCCCAGCACAGGGGGTGGTCACTGTCCTAGTCCTGCTGGTCACACTATTCCTGACAGGATGAGAGGCTGCTGGGTATCAGCTCCTTCTCTGAGGCTGCTCCCATCTCTCTTGGGGCTGGAGGCACAGGGATTTGATGAGCCACCTCTCCTGACCCTGAGTTGCCATTGGCATGGGCTCTGTGCAGGCTTTGGGTCCCTTTTGGATCCCTTTGGGTGGTGGCTCCCCATGGTATGCTGAGGTCCCAGAGGGGCTCTTTACCTCAGCTCACAGCCCTGGCCCAGGCTTGGGATGGGGGCTGTTGATGTTCATGCTGGGGCCTGATGCCAGCCAGGCTGCAGGGGCTGTGGTCTCCCAGGATGGGCTGTTGCAGGATGTGGACTCTCCTCCTCTTCCTGATGGACGTGCTTTAAATCTTAGTGGAGACATAGAACAACATTGACTTAATCCCCAGCTCCCTGTGAATTATTTAGTAGTATCTCATCAAAATGATGCATTTGTTGCTGTTAGAGCATTGGTGGCAGCAGCTGCTGGCACTGTAGGTCCTTCCAGCCACAGGGACCTGCTGCTCCCAGTGCCCACTGCCAGCAGTGCTCAACCCAAAGGATGCACAAGGCAGTGCCAGGATCTGGCCCTGGCCTCTTCTGAGGGTTTTCCAAGGGCATTTCATATTCCTAAATGAAACCTTGAGGTGCAGCAGAGTTTTTTGGCAGGTTTAGGCTCTGAGTTTTGAGACTATGAGGTTTTCGAGGATAAAAAGGATTCCTGTAGTAAAGACAGTGGAGCCGTGGGGCTGGTGTCAAAGCTCGTTGTCTGGCCTTAATTGGAGGCAGGGCTGTAATGCAAAGCCCAGGTGGGAGCAGCAAACGATGGCAACTCCCTTGGTCAGGGAGAATTGTACAGCTCCTGCTCTGCAAAAGTGTCTGGTAATGAAGGGGAGCTGAATCCCCATGCCTTGTGCATTGGGGAGAGGGGCTTTTGCAGCACTTTCCTGGCATGGGATGAGAAGGAAGAACACTGAACTGGGTAAGGGAGGCTTTATTGCTGGTTTGGTAACCGTGGCTTAACAACAATGTGCAGCCTTGAGTTCTGATCTAGGCTTAAGTGTAGCAGAGCTGAGTAGGTGGGCCTGGGAGTGAATGTGCTGCTGCACTTGTTGGCAGCGTGAAGAGGACCCTGCTTTGAAAATAAAACAAAAACTTGTATTTTGTTACATCAGGGCTGTAGTTCACAGGAGGGAAGCTTGGGGATGAGTTGGAAAATGTCATTGTTCAATGGAAAAGGGAAGAGGGGAAAAATCTGTGGGGTTTCAGGGCTGGCTGTGGTGCATCAGCTTGTCAGGACTCAGTGTGACAGGGCAGGGTGGCATCACCCGTTGTACCCTGTGTAAACACAAGCATGAACGCTGCTGCAGCATCGCTTCTGGAAATTATCCCTGATACTGAGGGAGCTGCTTGGAGATTGCCATATGAATAATGCTGTTATGAGGAGACTGTAAACATGGATTAGTTAAAATGAATGGATTATGAGGTTGTAAATCTGTCTGTAGGACTCTAATGCCATCATAGACTATTCACAGTTTGCCGCTATCCCTTAATTGAAATTGTAGCCTGGATTATATTAATGCCCTTCTATAAATCGAATTGCGAATCTATATTCCCTCTCTCCACAGCAGTAATGTTTTATTTAGTTGGTTTTCTTTGCCGGGGGAAATGATCCCGTTGTGCCGGGAGCTTGGGGTCAGGCTTGCTCTCCAGCCCACGCACTGGCTCAGGCTTTAATGAAGCTGTAGCCTCCTGTGCTGCCTTCCCTCCTGCCTCCAGATGCCTGGGCCATCTTTCTTCCCATTTTTACATCTTCTCAGGGCAGAAAAGGCATGGAAAAGACATTTTAGCATCAATTGGGAGCAATGGGGAGAGGCATGGAGGGGTAAGAGGATGAGGATTTCTTCTGGTCCTGGCCTGGTTGATGTTCGTGCATGTGCATCACATTGTGTACCCATAACCACATTCCTTATCCCCTTTGGAGCTTTGGGATTGTTCTCTCAGCCCTGCCCTGTGCAGGGTGAGCAGCCATCACCTGTCCCTCTTCCTGCTTCTCACCACTCGTCCCTGCTCCTTTCTGCAGTGGGAAGAAGTCAGCGGCTACGACGAGAACCTCAACACCATCCGTACGTACCAGGTGTGCAACGTCTTCGAGCCCAACCAGAACAACTGGCTCCTCACCACCTTCATCAACCGGCGCGGGGCTCACCGCATCTACACCGAGATGCGCTTCACTGTGCGGGACTGCAGCAGCCTCCCCAACGTCCCCGGCTCCTGCAAGGAGACCTTCAACCTCTACTACTACGAGACAGACTCTGTCATTGCCACCAAGAAGTCTGCCTTCTGGACGGAGGCACCCTACCTCAAAGTGGACACCATCGCTGCTGACGAGAGCTTCTCGCAGGTGGACTTTGGGGGCCGGCTGATGAAGGTGAACACGGAAGTGAGAAGTTTCGGGCCCCTGACCCGCAATGGCTTTTACCTGGCTTTCCAGGACTACGGGGCTTGCATGTCTCTGCTGTCTGTCAGGGTCTTCTTCAAGAAGTGCCCCAGCGTGGTGCAGAACTTCGCCATCTTCCCGGAGACGATGACGGGTGCGGAGAGCACGTCTCTGGTGACGGCGCGCGGCACCTGCATCCCCAACGCCGAGGAGGTGGACGTGCCCATCAAGCTGTACTGCAACGGCGACGGCGAGTGGATGGTGCCCATCGGCCGCTGCACCTGCAAGGCTGGCTACGAGCCCGAGAACAACGTGGCTTGCAGAGGTAAGGCTGGCTTTGGGCAACAAGCCCTTTGTGTTTGTTTTAGGGTAAAACGTTTGTCCCCAAGCAGTTTTGTGTGGTTTTGCTCTGGGGAGCAGTGGTCAGCCTGAGGTTTTTCAGTGTGCTCTGGTCAGTGGCCAGACCTGGTGAGCAGCGTGGTGAGGGTGTGGGTGCCGGTGCTGCTGCCACCTTTCTGGAAGTCACCTCTGTGATGTGGTGCCTTCAAAGTGCTGTGCTCGCCAGCCAGGCTCTTTCATCTGCCTCGTTATTTCCCTGACAGAGCCGGGCAGCTGCCGTCGGGCCTGGCTGCCGTGGGGCTGCTCTGATTCTTGGTGTTAATTGGAATTGTTGTGCTGGTTTTTGGGTTCCCCAGCCACGCTGCCAGCTTGCTGCTGCCTGCTGGAGCCCTGCAGTGTGAGGTTATAAATAGGGAAACATAGCTCACTGCTTTTCATCTCGTTTTGCCCTTGTGGTGAATATTTCCCAAATACCATTGGAGCATTGTTTTTTTTTTTTTAATTGGCTGGCCTTTCCTGCTCTCCCAGATTAAGGTATTGGTTTTACATGCTGCATAGAAGGAGGGGAAAGGAGAGGACTTTTTGCTCACCCTGTTTTATCACTTCTAAATAGCTTCTAGCAGGTCAACACCACCAGGCTAAGGAAGGGTTGGGAAGAAGGAGAAGGTCAAACTGCTTAAGGGCTGGTTTGGCAGGTTGTGATGGGAAGAGGTTCTTGGATCTCTTTTGGTGAGATGGGGGAATGTGTGTACCACCAGGCTTGGCTAGGATGCTCCTTGGGGAGTCCCTCAAGGTGTTCTTTTCCACTTGAACTCTGGATATCTGGATTCAGGCTATGGGGAAGCTTGTTTGATTGTTTGCTCTAAACCTGGGATTTTGTGTAGGTTTTCACCATGCAAAGCCTCATTCCTACCTGGCCAAGGTGGGGGTGGTGACACCTTCCTGTGCCAGGGCTCTGACTACCAGGAAACCCCCAGAATCCTTTCTCAAACAGCATGGCTGGGGGATTCCTATGAGTTTTGTGGTTGTAGGGTGTTTTTGTTCCTACCAGGAGATTGCTGTGAGGAGCTGAAGTGCTCAGTCAGAGGGAGGGCTCTCTGCAAGCCGAGTGTTCCTGGCGAGACGTTCCTCTGCTATTGAACCAACACACAGAAAGTACACATGGTTATATGGCAAAATGACATTTCTCATCATTTGAAAACAAATACTAATTTTAGCTAAACATTGGAATTGGAAAGTAATGTCACTTTGCCAGAAATGGAGGAAAACAGTGACAATGTAAAACTGTGGGCTTTGGTTGTGTATACCTTTGTGCCAGCTGGATGAAGGTGGGGTCTTCAGTGCTCCTGACCCTTGGGAGAACCATGATGCTTCTTCTCAATGCTTGGGGAAGGGCAGAGGATTGACAACAGCAGGATGAGAAGCGTGGGAGCAAACCTGCTGAGGGTGGGGGTTAGACCCATCTCCATGGCTTTTTTAATTTCCTTTCCTTGTGCAAACTCTACAAGGGTTGTGAAATGTTCATGCTGTCAAAGCTCCAACAGGCAGACCCCAGGAAATTAGGGATTTGTTGGGTTTTCTGTGCCCTGTTGCCTGTCTCCAGCTGTACTCCCACTCCTTAGCACTGATCCCTAAGGAGAAACTGCTGAGCTCCTGGTGAGCTCATGGGGAGTGTGCTTTATATTCAGACTCCTTGAGGCGAAGATTAGGGATCCTGGCAGCTCCAGGGAGTAGAAATACCCTTTACAGATTGACTGGCAGTTTGTATGATCCTGAAAGGCACCAGAGTACGTGGTGGGCACAGGGCAAGCGGGTGTTAAATGGCACCAGGCTCATCTGTGATGACAGGAATGTGCTGTTTGATGATTCCATGGGTGCTGCTGAGATGCTGTCTGTGGAGGAGAGCTCTGATGGCTGCCTTTCCCAGTCCTGTTGAGTATTTTCCAGTTCCCACGTCAGGAGGGCAGAGAAGAGGTTGGGATTGCACAAGACCTGTGTGTCTGAAGGTCCTGCTTAATGCTGCTGAGGAACCCAAATCCAGTATATCCCCCATCCCCTTGAGGTTCACTAAAACACCCCCTAAAAGCTTGATCCAGGGTTAACATCAGGAATTTTGGAAAATTACCTGCGTTTGAATAAAAATCTGACCTTGGGCTGGGCTCTGGCTCCCTGGTAGTTCATTGGCCATCAAGTTCCTCCTTGTATCTCCATGGACCTTGGAGCTGGCAAGGGAAGATCTAAGCCCACTGCTTCATGAAGGTTGGTGGGCAGGAGGTGGCACATGGCAAAGTTTAGAAATAGAAATGCCTTGGTTTTCTGTGTGGCTTTGTTTCTCAGAAGGGGTTGTATTCCTCTGCCTGGCAGGGAAGCTGCTGGGATTGCACCCTGGCTCCTGGGAAGCACACACTCCTGACATCTGCTCCAAGCCTTCATCAGCCTGAGTTGAGACACTTAACAAGCCTGTAGGAATTGTCACCAAGGAAAAAAAACCAAAAAAAGAAAATCCCTCAGTATTTGAAGGCTGAAAAAATAGGCTTAATTCCTGCGTGGTGGGGAAAAAGATAGCGTTGGATTGCTCAGCTCCCCCAGCTCTGTCTCATCCCTCACTCCCCTGGGAAGGAGGCTGTGCCTGTCGTGGGGCCATGAGACCAGAGTGGGTTCGTGCTGACACTGGAGCTTGGGCCACTCCGGCTTTCATTAATACCAGCTTTTAGTGGCACTTACAGCTCGAGGGATGCACGGGCACAACTTCATCTTTGTTGAGGGTACTCAGAGCCCTGAGGAGATTATCCTCATGTTTTGGGGTCAGAGGGATGGGGGGCTGCTCCCACCACTGTGCCAGGATGGGCGTGGGGCAGAGGGGGATTGTCTTTGTGCATCAGCCCCGTTGTTTATTCCCATCCCAGGCTGCTTTGGCACAGCCTCCCTGGCGCAGCTCTAGCTGTATGCCAAAGCCCAGTGGAGTGTCCAGCCCATCCCCTGGGACACCCTGTGCCCCTGGGGGCGGTGGGTCAGGGTGGGAGGGAGGCTGTGCCTGAATCCCAAATGAATAATTCATTTGGCGTGTGAGAGAGCCCACGCTCTCCTCGGGCTGATATTAAATCCATTCGTCTTGCTCTGCCCCGTCCCTCAGCCCTGCTTTATGGCTTCCTTGTGTGGTCAAGGGACAATGCATCATCGTGCTGGGGAAGAGGTGGGAGGGAAGGTGGCAGCCGGGATCACTGGGAGGTGGGGGAAACCTTGGATGAGTATGCTGGGTGGATTTTGCTTTTTCTCCTCAAGAACATTGTTAAATCCTTTCTCTCCTGGTGTTTGAAACCTGATGATGGCAAAGGAACCCCTCGCTAGATTGTTGGCAGTTGTGTCTCTTGGCTTTCATCCCTTTTGACTTTGAGGACTGAGCACTGTATTTCTGTCTGCTGGAATCACGCTGGCTTTCTCTCTGACCTTCCCAGTGCCGGGCACTAACTCGGGTACACGGAGAAGGAAAAAGTCTGGGACTGAACTGGCTTTGTGCTGAATTTCTATGTTGTATTTATAAACTCAGGAAGAAGGGGTGAGAGAGCAGTCCTGCTGTTTCCTGGCCTTGTCTCACTTTCAGTTTTCCCCTCCTGGCAAATTCCTGTGCTGGCGCGTTCGGGAGCCTCCAATCTGCTGGCCTGTCTGCTACAGCAGCTGGAAATCTGACCTGGCAGGGGGAAAAATCAAAATAAACCCCACAAAACAAGAGCAAAGCTGGGCTGTATTGCCTGCGATGCAAAGGCTGCTCACCAAGCAGCTTTGCTTCCCGGCATCCCTGCCTTTCCACGCATCAGCCGCTCCCCTATCCCGTCTCCAGCCAGGTCCCCCCATCCCTCCTCACCTGCTGACCCGTGTGCCGGGCTCTGTGTGGGTTTATCCTCATCCCCTTCATCCCTTTGATTTCTCTGTCTCCTTTCTGTGTTCGTTCTTCCCTTCTGCCTTTTGTGTGGAGGAATGGATTGGGGAAAGGAGCAGCGGGAGGGGCACGTCTGACCTTGAATGTTGAAGAGTGAGCAGCTCCATGCTGGTTCCCCTGTTATCCTCCCCTCCTGCCGAGCAGCCCTGGTGATAATTATTGATTTCCTCTACTTATCCATCACAGAAGATTGGAAACAATGTGATTTATAAAGTGATTTTTTTAAATAATTGTGAACATTTTGCAATTAGTAGTAGAACAATTTGCTATCATTTAAAACAAGGGAATTGTCAAGTTTTCCCAGTGAAATTGTTGCTTGTGTTGAGAAGTGGGAATTTTTGGTCTCTGGCTGTGCCCTTGCCTGCCTTTCCCCTGCTCCATGGTCCAGCTTGGTGCCCCTGCACCATTTTGGGGCACCCAGGAGAGGTTTTTTTGGGCGTTGAAGGTGATGTTGGTTTTGTCCCATGGGTGAATGGCAGCAAGGGACGCATGGGGACACAGGACCCTGCTCCCCTTTAGTGTATCTATCCCATCCCAGTTGCCCAGCATGGGGCAGGGTCAGCACACCAGGCATTGGCAGGGGCTTTTAAGAATGGCTTAATTTTTAATTTTTTTCTCTAATCTGGTGGTCCATGCACTTCATCTTCTTTTAAGCCTCTGTGCTGACCTCTCTCCTCCCCACCACTCCAGCATCTCATTCCAGCTTACCTGGAATCACCTACAAGTGATTTTTTTTTTTTTTTGAGATTTTATCCTCTAAAACAGGAGGGGAAAAACAGAGGTAAAAAGAAAGTGCTTGCCCTGCTCTTCTCTCCTTCCACCTGCCCTTGGGTTTGGTTTAGCAGGGCACAGGATGGGGACAGCAGCATCCCAGAGTGGGCCAGGTAGAACAAGGGCTGGGGACAAAAAAATAAATATTTGGTCTTAAAAACCATCAGCAGTTCCTCAAGCTCTTTCCTGAGGACCAGGTTTAGGTGAACTGGTTTGTTCCCAAACCTTTCCAAACCTGTAGACAAACAGCTGATGCACACTGGGGTCTCTGCCTGGCA